ATTATATAAGTACTAAAAATCCAAAATTTGAAGTCTGTTGATCATTTAGTTCCAAAGTTATGAGATAGCAAAGGACATTGGTCTTCGTCCATACATTGTTGGGCCTGGAGCCAAGAGTATCGGATAATTATGTATTGTATTCTCTATCATTTTTAAACTCCTAGAAGATCTTGTTTTTATAGCGGACTAGCTGCAGAAAAGATATATTTCAATAAAAGTATCAGATTTTGAGGTTATAATGTAACCATAACAACGAATATTTGAACGATTGTAGAACGTTTGTATGATTTTATAGAAATGAAGAAGTTTTGATCACTGTATAATATTATTCTTGCTACCTATTTAACTGCATTCATAAAGAAAAAAAACACAATCGATCTATTATCCCTAGTTCACTTTTGACACAACATTGAACTTGCTGATTTATTTATTACATTAGGCGAAAGCATTTCATATTAGGTGAAGATGGCGATCTAATGTTATTATCGCGTAAAATTTTATTAAAAGTACATATTGGAAAACAGCTAGTCCGTGATACAGAAGTATTTGCAACTTACATAATAAAATAGGAGATTAATTATCGTATATTCCAATACTTAATACTTAAGTAATTAATTGTGGGAGAGCCATGCTTCGGCTCGACCGGAGTGATACCACGGCATCACGAAAACCGACGCGACGCAACGCTTGCGTTGTGTTTCGTCGTGTGAGTGAGGTTACCGGAGGCCCAATTACCCTCCCCTTCCCCAATCTCCCCAATACCTGAATCCCAACGATCCTCAAACTCCTAATCCCCAAAAGGCTGATCCCCAAGACGCCGATTGCTTACCATCAGGTGATCCGTCGGCTCATTTGCCGGCTCAATTCCCAAAAGACCAGTAACTAACTTCTAGCGCCTCTGGTGTTTCAGGTGTCCATGGGCGGCGCAGATTGCTTACCATCAGGTGATCCGTCTGCTCGTTTACCGGCTTATGCCTTAAAAAAATGAGCAAACTATAATAATGAATTTGACCTTGACAGTCCAAAGCCTTGAAAGGACTAATATTATTATTCAGCTCTGTGTAATTAGTTTTTTGATTTATAAAAAATACGAATTCAAGGTAACTGAAAATATTTTATTCGTGGTTTTATCTCCTATTACTGCTGTCAACCTCTTTGCATACCTCAATAATCATATCATAGTATAAAAAAACTATGACACATTGACTTTGTAAACTCACTTGTCAAGGAAATGTCAGATGACTTAGAAATGTATACTAATATTACAAAATCGTATGTGTCTGTTTGTTTGTCCGTCTTTCACGACAGATCGGAGTCAGAAAGGATTATTTGATTGGAGATAGTTGAAAGAATGGAGGGTCGCTTTACCTTTTTTTCTCTTTCTAACTCCCACTTCCCTGAAACAGAGGTGAGGTGGAAGTTTGTATGGGGTATTTTGCAATTTTCAATGTGGAAAGCTAAAAATTGGTATGCGGGTTATTTGTGACCGTGCACCATTTCATTTTTTTTTTGTAAATCGTGCCTTTTGCCCATTAAATTAAAAGAGCGCGAGTGAAACCGCGAGCAGAGGCTAGTCTATGAATAAATTGTATTCAGTTGATTGAATTCGTATTATTTCTTTAAAATTCCTCATCCCTGATGCAGCTGAATAGTTATTTATATTCGAAAACCCACAAAACATCTTTTTGTCTATTGATGCCAAAATTTACTATGGAAGTAAGACGCCATAATTATTACAAATCATCAAATTGGTTACCATAGTAATGTTACCTGTCAGTTATCCGTTTTTAGATAAATCGAAATTAATATTCTTAATAATCGGCATTGTGACTTCCACATAAAAGATAGAAATATCGGACTTTTATTTAGAACTAATCAACACAAACAATCTTACAGTATAATAATATAATTTAGTGTAACTCCTATGGTATAGGCAGCGTACGCCCAGATAGGTCTCAGAGGCCCGATTTGACTAATATTTTATATAAAATTATACTCAAAATAACATAAAGTCATTACAAATGGTAGCCCATATGTTATTCTGACGTATAACCTACATTACTGTGAAGTTTCATCTAAATCCGATCAGTAGTTTTTGGGTGAACCAGTAACAAACACATCCACTAACTCACACATACATCCTTACAAACTTTCGCATTTTATTATAAGTAGGATAGTAGGATAAATTGATTAAATACTCGTTTGAAACTCGTTATAAAATGGCAGCTTACTACGTCATAAGTTAACATAAAAACTATTGTGGCGAAACGCGAATAATTTGTAGATTAAATACCAAAACTGCAGGTGAATAGATATTGAAAAACACAGTAAAAGTATTTAATCAGCATTATATATAAATAAATACCGATTCTATTTCAATATTCGTTTAAAACCTTACAATACAATCGGAAACAATATTGGTTACTAGCTTCAGCCAGCAGAGGGCATAGTATCACAGCGCGATGATCTCCTGCGCCCAGCCGCGGTGGCGGAATGGAGGTGCAATTTTCAAAAGTCATGACGCAATCTTGGCGGTTGATTATCGCAGAACAACTCAACTCAGTTCCATACCGGTCGTCCCATTGCGATCGAGTGGGGGAGTGTAATTGGGCCTCCAGTAACCTAACTCACACGACGAAACACAACGCAAGCGTTGCTTCACGTCGGTTTTCAGTGAGGCCGCGGTATCACTCCAGTCGAGCCGGCCCATTCGTGCCGAAGCACGGCTCTCCCACAGTTAACATAACATAACATCACGCCTTTTATCCCCGAAGGGGTAGGCAGAGGTGCACATTATGTCATTATACAATGTAACACCCACTTTTCACTATTTATGTTATAAGTCCCATGTAATAGGGGGTGAGCCTATTGCCATATACCGGGCACAATTCCAGTGACATGGCATATGGCATACATGACTCCACGATGATGATGACTGATGTGGGCTGGGCAACCGGCTGCCGCACAACGTGTAGCCGTTTCCGATTCCCATACGGAGCAACTCTTTGTGTGATCCACAAATTGTTCTGGGTCTGTGTGTGATGTGTATGTGAACTTGTATGTTTGAAAACGCTCCCACGACATAGGAGAAAATCCTAGTGAGGGACAACGTTCTTTACGAAGAAAAGAACAAACAGAAAAACAATCAGCCTCCTCCTGTTTTGGAGGCGGTAAAAATGGTCGAGACAAACTAATTCAATTAAATATAATTTCATTTTAACTACCGTTCGTGTGTTTTGATTATAGTTTGTATATTGTGCGTGGGAATTGCACAAACTTATTCCCCCTAGTCCATTTCACCACTGTACCACCAGACGAACGGCGGGGCGCCACCCTTATATGGTGGACATTCCACCCATTCGCACGAAGAGCTAAGGAATGGAATTCCTTGCCAGAGTCTGCGTTTCCCGTCAAATAGACTTGGGTGTCTTCAAGTCCCGAGTGAACAGGTTGCTCATAGGTAGGTGTGCTCCATCGTCGGCCACATCATCCCTTACCATCAGGCAAGATGGTGGTCAAACGTCGACCTATAAAGTATTAAAAAAAAGTTAAATTTAAATTAATGAAATTAAATTATTGTGTGGTTTCATTATAACGAGTGTTTGTATTCTATTGTTAGGTATTATTGTGTGTTATTTATATCATGTCTTACTCCTAATATTTTTTAATTACAGAACTTAATTAATACACATTACTAAATGTTTGACATTTATTTGTTTTGGTACTTTACTAAATGTAAACAATTTGTACCAATAAATGCACAAAATGTGATCACACTAATATTATAAATGTGTTTCTTTGTTTGGATGTTTGTCCGTCACTCATGATGAAAGTATTTTTATGGCATACATAAGCTGGTAAACGAGCAGACGGATCACCTCATGGTACACAAGTATGAACGGATTCTGATGAAATTTGGTATACAGGTAGGGTATGGGCTTATTTAGGTGATAGGATACTTTTTATCCCGATTAAATGATCCCATGGAATAAAACAATAATCATAATATTATACGTAGACGAAGTCGCGGGCAACAACTAGTTAAAAATGAAAAGAAAAGGTTGGTTTTCGAAAAGCCGTTTCAAACCCAATCTGTTAGTTTAAGCTACTTTTACAATGACTTTATTTTACTGCAGGTACGTAATAGGTACATTTTTCATGTAAAGGTTATAACTAGGAAGTTAAAACTTAAACCGCTGGAATAACATTAAATTTAATTTGTTAAATATATATATTAGGTATAAATATTATCCTCTAATTGTTTCTGCCATGTGTAATAATATTTTTCTATATTTGTTTATCTCGTTGGTCACTTATCTACCTACATCGTATATCTTGTTTTTCATTAAATTCAATATTAAAAATTCGAAAACCTCTAATGTAAGACATTGTAGAACATACTTTTTTAAAAGAGTAACGAATGGAGTTTCTTGCTCGTTCTTCTCCATTCGAATCTACGTTTTGGAATGAGGACCTAGCTTCACCTAGCTTCACTGACGGACTGACTGACAGACTATTATTTATTTTGTATTTGTTGACGTTTCAAAAGTACCAAACTATGGTTTAATTGAAATAAATGATTTGACTTTGACTTTGACTTTATACAAGCACGGACTCTGTATCTGCAAAGTGGTAATAGGCTCCCCACCGTAACACAATTGTTGAAAATGTTGTGTTGTCTTTTCATTTCCCATCGGATATAAAAAAGTATAACCGGGTCCAGAACTGAGTATTTCGTTTTGATAAAACTGCAAACCAATAATTGGTACAATCTATTTTATTAGGATATTATTTACTTTGTTAAACCCCACAACAGTGGAGAATCCTAATACAGGACAAGGTTCTAATTAGTACAAAAAAACAACTTAACCTCAGTATTAGCTTATCGCAAACAATGTGCCTGCGATAACTGGACGGATATAGGAAAACAATACAGGTTGCAATTAACACCTATATATACGGATACACTGAGCTATATTGTTAGAAGATCGCTAAAAACATTAGTGAACTGACCGTCACAGTGGATAATGAACAAAACATAATCTAATACAATATGGCAAGAACAGTGTGTGTGGTATTTCCAACAGTATTAACGATATTCCTCGTAACTTTGGTAGTGCTTGGATTTATGAACATTGGCCCTCTGGCCGCCTACATCGCATTAGATTTTGGTTCAAGCAATGTGAAACCAATCGAGGGTACAGTCATCGACACTACACACTACTACAAATACAATAAATCTCGAACACCATGGACTACGGTAGAGACTACCCCAAACTACTATTCTCGATTCGGAAGAAGACATAAGTACCATAACTACACACGAAATGTAACTATTTCTCTCAACAATACTACGAGATATGGACGCAATGATACCTATTTTAAATCCAATACAAGACCGTACTACATCAACAACTTCGATTATGTTAATAAAACTATCATTGGCACAATTCCGATTGAAGTAAGCCGTAGACCAGGACATGAGAAAGAATGGGTACCGTACTCCTACGCTAATAACACCACAGCCAAACCGCTGTCGAAATACTACTCTGATGATGATAATACATCTACATTCATAACGCCGAGGACATACAACTACAGTGATGTTTATACCAAACCTATATCGCCGAGGACATACAACTACAGTGATGTTTATACCAAACCTGTATCGCCGAGGACATACAACTACAGTGATAATTATACCAAACCTGTATCGCCGAGGGCATACAACTACAGTGATGTTTATACCAAACCTGTATCGCCGAGGACATACAACTACAGTGATAATTATACCAAACCTGTATCGCCGAGGGCATACAACTACAGTGATGTTTATACCAAACCTATATCGCCGAGGACATACAACTACAGTGAGGTTTATACCTCAGACGTAACGCCAGGAAGATACAACTACAGTGTTGTGTATATCCCAGACACACCAGCAGAAAGTTACAAGCACGGTGCTGATGTTAGCACAGCCTATGGTAGCGGTTATCCCAAATATGCGAGGAATCCTTTTGTAAACGTAAGTACCAACGCTAGCGTCGCGAAACCTAAAGCTGTAACTGTAACATATCATAGCAATGAAAGTAAGCCTACTCCGAGTAATAAAAATAGACCTACGTCAACATTTTACGAAGAAAACAAATATTATATAGGTGGTTCAAAGTCAGTCAATTATCCCATGGATTACGCCGTAGCTAAAAGTAAATCAACTCCAAGTGGAGACAGAGCAGTACTCGCACCGTCATACAATGGTACTTACACCAAGCCAATAGATAAAACTGCTCCATCGCCGCGAGAATACGGAAAAGATATAGGTACAAGTGCAAATACAAAAACACCCATAGAATACGCTTACGCCGTGCCTAAAAAAATTTCTACTCCAGATAGTGGAACCGTTGCTGTACCCAATTTTCACATAAATAACAAGGGCACGGTTTCAAATGTTTATGTTGAAAAACCTAATATGATGACTGATAATAAAACAATGGATAATGGTACTGTACCAGTTAAACCAGACTACAATGTATGGAATACACATAAAAAAAGAAACGAAAATGCACCTATGCATGTAGCTAGTAGACCAGTAGAAGCCAAACCTACTAATAGTAATGGTACAAGAAGTGTAAAATATGATGATGGATGGAGCACCACGTATGGATTGGACGATAAAACAGGCGACAGTCCAAGTATATGGGCTACAAATAAAAGATATGAAAATGCGACGGTACCAGGTACATCTGCTGGTAGACCAGTAGAAGCCAAACCTACTAATAGTAATGGTACAAGAAGTGTAAAATATGATGATGGATGGAGCACCACATATGGATTGGACGGTAAAACAGGCGACAGTCCAAGTATATGGGCTACAAATAAAAGATATGAAAATGCGACGGTACCAGGTACATCTGCTGGTAGACCAGTAGAAGCCAAACCTACTAATAGTAATGGTACAAGAAGTGTAAAATATGATGATGGATGGAGCACCACGTATGGATTGGACGATAAAACAGGCGACAGTCCAAGTATATGGGCTACAAATAAAAGATATGAAAATGCGACGGTACCAGGTACATCTGCTGGTAGACCAGTAGAAGCCAAACCTACTAATAGTAATGGTACAAGAAGTGTAAAATATGATGATGGATGGAGCACCACATATGGATTGGACGGTAAAACAGGCGACAGTCCAAGTATATGGGCTACAAATAAAAGATATGAAAATGCGACGGTACCAGGTACATCTGCTGGTAGACCAGTAGAAGCCAAACCTACTAATAGTAATGGTACAAGAAGTGTAAAATATGATGATGGATGGAGCACCACATATGGATTGGACGGTAAAACAGGCGACAGTCCAAGTATATGGGCTACAAATAAAAGATATGAAAATGCGACGGTACCAGGTACATCTGCTGGTAGACCAGTAGAAGCCAAACCTGAACCAACTAAAAGTAATGGTACAAGAAGTGCAAGATATAATAATGGATGGAAAACGTATGGCAGGGATTGACACTGACATTCGAGAAATTACGCATTTTCCATTCATTTTTTCAACTAGCTTATAAATGACCTCTTAGAAGCTCCTAGATTTCTATTTTATGCAAACATATTATAATAATAATAATAATAACTTGACACCCTGGATAGGCGAGTCCGGACCCTGCTGACTGCAAATCGCATGCATCACCCTCGTTCGTCGGTCATGAGGTTGTACATCCCACGGAAGTGTGGTGGTCGAGGCTTATTAAATGCTAAGACCCTTCACAACCGTGAGGTGTGCAGCCTCAGGGAATATTTCCTGAAAGTCAACGAGGGTATGCATCGAGAAGTAGCAGCGGTGGACAATGGATTCACTCCGCTATCCTTGGCAAAAGAGAACTGGCGCAAACCTGTGGTACTGAGCGTCAATGATCGCAAGGAGATATGGCATAGCAAGGAGCTCCACGGACGCTTCTTCCGGGCCCTTCATGGGCCCAGTGTAGATTTTCTAGCGTCCGTGTCTTGGCTACGATTCAGTAATCTCTTTGGAGAAACTGAAGGATTTGTCTGTGCAATTATGGACGAAGTTATCCTTACGAATAACTACCGGAAATATATAATTAAGGATGGGACGGTTGACATATGTCGGGCATGTCATAGTCCTGGTGAATCCATTAGACATATTATTTCTGGTTGTGGTCGTTTGGCTAACAGTGAATATTTGCATAGGCATAATCAAGTAGCCAAGATTATCCATCAGCAACTTGCTTT